ATAATATTGGCATGGAACAATAAAAAATTATAGATACAGCGGAGACCTATCAGTGGCAGACCACCGTCGTCCCCTTCCCCTACCGTTGAAGCACATCCCGCCGGTTCCACTCCGATGAGCGGCGCTGCCGAACATGGGGAAGTGAGCCACCCTTTGTGCTGAAGCATATATATACCTCCGGGGCTCACGTCAGTCCGACGAGCGGGCTGTCGAACATGAGGAGACTAGTCAAGGGTATCCGTGTCCTGGGAATGGATATCCGCGAGCGTCGGCCATAGACTAGTTTTATCTTAGTTCGGTATAGTTTTTAGTTCAAAATTGTCCAAAATATAATGAATTTCATCTAGTTTATATGAAATCCATCGTGTTTGCATGAGTTTCATTCGGTTAGTTCCAACAATGGTTGAAATGTATGTGAGAAGCGTTGGATGGCAGACTCCTACATAAGTGTCCATAGACTGGTCTCCCCTCTCCGCAGTCAGATGCCAGAGGAAATTTGTGGGTCAACGTTGGAGATGCCCTAACGGCATTTACAATCGGACTGGGAAAATTTAGTCCCACAAATGTTCGTGGACATGTTCGGTCAGTGTTTGGGCCTGTCCGTTCTGACTCCTTATTTACCTGTTCATGTAGGCATGTCCCTCACCGTTTTTCCTATACGTCTGGTAACATGCATGCAATTGATGGAGAATAAGTGACAGAAAGAAAGAAATAATAAAGAAAGAAAAATGCTGCATGGTGGGCCAAAACATATGTGGTGAACGCAGTACCCTGACTGGACATGCCCCAGCACTCCTCATACTCATTTCATATATGAGAGCAATATGAGAAGTGCTAGACAACAAGGCATTTTTGAAGGCTTTGAGAGGTCCAGTTGGATCAATTTTTTTCCTTCTCTCTCTCATGTCCGGTAAGTGGTCCTAAATCTGCAAGAGCATCTACAACCTAACCCTCATATGTCCGAGTGGATTTCCTTTGACGTGCATCCGAATGTGATTGTGGTCCAGGGACCTACAAATGATGGTGTGGGACCCCACGTGGATCTTAGATGTCAGGTCCTTGACCCTACCACTAGTAGGTGACCCCATCACTGACGCCGGCATTTGGAATAAAAATTCCCCGATCTCCGCCCCATCTCGATGACGTCCTTGGTGGTGAAGCCGATCGATCCGCGTGAACCTTATTCCATCGTTTCCTTGATGTGATGGATCTGGTGGTGTTTGTTGTGTCTCTGGAGGATCTCATCTCGTGTGGCGTCGTCTTTGTTCGGGGGAAGATGAAGGTCCCAGAACAAGGTTGGAGGCTTGTGGGTGGAAGTTCCAATGTTTTGCCTCGACGACATCGACGACATGTAGTGGATCTGGGTTTCGAGGAGCACGTGGATGATCCCCGTTGACATGCCACAACGACAACGGCCTTGCCGGTGGCAGACCTTTTCTTCGGTTCACAAATCCTTATGGGCAATGGTGTTTCTTCGTCTCCGAAGACGGCAAGTGGCAACGATGGCGGTTGCAGAAATCCGCTTCAATGGAGTTTTCTTGCAAATGTTTCTGGACATGTGTCCTCTATCTCTCTTTTTCTACCATGGTTTTCGTGATTCTGTGTAGTAATTTAACATATGTTTAATGGTATATGAAAGTTTCTCAAAAAAAGTATGCAAAGCACGGACGATTATCATTAGAAAAAGTTTGAAATAAACCTTGAATTTGTAGACGAAAGTAAATCGAACCCTAAACTTCAAATCCTGGAAATCAGCACACCGAATTCTACGATCCTGGTTTATTTTCAACGTTGAGTGAGTTCCCAAACAGGGATTGGCACGAAGCGATTTTTTTCTCCTTTTCTTAGATCATCTCCAACAGCCACGCTATACACGGCGTGCTAAAAAAGCGTTTGCAGCGCGCCGATCGCCTGTTTTTGCGCGGCGCAAAGCGCTTGCTCTAGCGGCCACTGCAAAGTTTAGCGCGCGCGAGTCGCTCTAGCAGCCGCTGCAGAAAAACCGCACGCGCGCTCTCGCACAAACAACATATGCACTCCAAACACAACCAAGAAGATCAAACACAAACAAAATAAATCAACAATAAATAGTTCAATTTCATTATTACAACTCAAACATATAGTTTATCTTCCAATACAACAAATAGTTCGAGAATACAATATCAAACGCACAAATCATGATGCTCTTTGTCAGTCATTCCATGCCCACCACTCCTTAATGGGATCCTTCTGAAGATCATCATACGTTTCGGTAGGTCGAATGGCATGATAGGAGGCAACATAACGGGCCACCCTGGCGGCCGTCCGCCGCACTCGCGAGGGATGTCCCAAGAGCTCATATTGAGAGTAGTCTAAATCTTGTCCATGCTCATTCTCGATGATCATGTTGTGCATGATCACACAAGCGTGCATGATGTACCAAAGCATCTTTTGATCCCAAAATTTAGCCGGTCCTCTCACAATAGCAAATTGGGCTGGCAAAATCTAAAAATCTCTCTCCACATCTTTTCTAGCCGCCGCCTGAGCATTGTGGAAATCAAGATTTTTCTTACCTTCCGTTTTTTTCAGCGGCTTCACAAATGTTTGCCACTTTGGATAGATATCATCCGCAAGATAGTAGCCATAGTTGTACGTATGGCAATTTGCTACAAACTGCACCGGTGGCAGTTCACTGGTGACCGATTAACAACGTTGATGTCATTCAAAGATCTAGATATTCCAATAAAAGCATGCCAAATCCAAGTCTCTTGATCGCCCACCGCTTCAAGGATTATAGTGGAACCCCTTTTTTGGCCGTGGAATTGCCCATGACATGCCATAGGACAATTCTTCCAACTCCAGTGCATGCAATCTATTGAGCCAAGCATACATGGGATGCCGCGAGCTTTGTTCATCTCCAATAGCCTTGTGGCATCTTCAACATTGGGAGATCTCAAATACTCCTGTCCAAACACTTGCACAATTCCGACTGCGAAGCGCTTGACGCACATGATGGCTTGACTCTCATCCATGGCCAAGTGATCATCAACTAGATCAGCGGGGATACCGTATGCCAACATACACAAAGCGTCTGTCATCTTCCGAAAGGTGCTATGCCCGAGCTCTCCGGCGGAATTCCTCATTTACTGAAAAACCCGGTCATGGCTCGCTAGTTTCTCTGCAATGCGTCTGAACAACTCAGTGCTCATCCTAAACCGACGCCGGAAGTATGACTCGGGGTACATGAAATTATCCGTAAAATAGTGCCTGATTAATCTGTTGTGGGCATCGATCCTATCCCTCTAAATTTTCTGCCGACCCATAACCGAACCACCGTGCTTCGGTTCTTATTGATGTGCATAGCTAGGATCATTGCAAGATCCTCCTCCTCTTCAATATCAAATTCTTCTTCGGAAGAATCATATGACAAACTCATCTACAATGCTCAATTTAAACTAGGCTATAAAAACTACAAACAACATGCACCAAATTCATGTAAAAAATGTGAGTTGAAGCAATACATACCTTGCAAGCGTTTTGTCGAACATCTTGTGGGCGCTGAGCGGCAGTGGTCGGCCGGGCGCTATTCGTCGGAGGAATGGCGCGCGCGAGGGGCGGCGGCGCCCGAAGGGAGAAGGAGGAAGCGCGGCGGTGCGGGGATAGGCCGGGGAGCACTGGAATCGTCGCCGGATAGGCCGGGGTGGTGCTGGTAGCGGCGCCAGCGCCTTGGTCGGGGTAGGTGGAAGTGGCGAGCGGGCGCTCGAGTGTGCAAATAAATGGCGCGCGATGACGATTTGGACCACGCGCTGAACTCGTGTCCACTGAAGCTCGGATAGCGATTGCGCGCGCGCTAAAAACAACAAATTTGCGGCGCGAGGACTCGGGTAGAGTCGAACTTGCGACCTGGCAAAGTTGAAAACATCCCTCTAGCCACTAGTACAGACAATTCTAACTAATATAATTAGAGGCTGATATATTTAAGCACACACTGAAGTGTTGAACTTTGAAAATGTTTTTTAGTGGCAAACAAATATTCTAAGCATAAACAATTTTCGTGTGATTCATAAAAAATGTATGTGGCATTTCAAAAAAAATTAATTTGTACAATGTAAAATAATATCCGGGTGATTAAAAAAAATGTGCTTGTGACATTTTTTAAAAATGTATCCAATGAAAAAAAAATGTTTGCTTGATGTAGGAAATGTGTCATACCTTTAAAAGACTATATGTGACATGTGTTTGAAAAAAGTGTATACAATTTAAAAAATGTGCATACAATTTTAAAAATTTGTAACAATGTAAAGAACTGTTCATGTAGTTTATAAAATGTCTACTGTCGTTAAGAAAATGTAAAACATGTATTTGGAAAAATATTACCATGTATTCAAACAAAGTATTGAAAACATGTATTCCAAAAAATATACATAATGTATTTGAAAAATGTCAAAAGTGTATCAAAAAATTATTTCATGTCTGCGCTAAAAATGTACATTACATACTGAGAATAATTATACTTGTATAAAAAAGAAAACCAGTTACTGGTAAAGAAACAAAATAGAAGCGAAAAAACAAACCATATGAAGAAAATCAAAAAAAGTATAACAAAGAAATAAAAAACAAAATATAATGAAAAAACAGAAGAAATTGATGAAAAACCAAAGAAAAAACAAAGAAAAACAAAAATAAGAAAACAAAGATAAACAAGAGCAGCGTGAGCAACTACACTAATGGGCCGGCCCAATTCAGCGAATACCAACTAAATTCTCTTAAGGTTCAAAATAGACCAGGATTAGAGAATTTGATGGGCTGATTTCAGGGTTTGAGAGTTCATGGTTTGATTTAGCTTTGACCTATAAACTCAAGTTTTTTTTTGGAATTTTCCCATTATTATTTTTGCAAAGACAAGCCAAACAGAAAAAAGGAAAAAGTATAGAGAAAAGAAAAGACAGTGTGTCCCATCAAGCTGACGAGCGACAAGGCGTCTTATTCAAGCAGAGTACTTAATTAAGAAAGCGGCACAATTATTAATCAGCCACGCCCACCATGCGCATGAACTCCTCGTCGGCGAGGAGGCTGGGGAACGCCTCCGGTGACAGACAAACCTCCAGGGCAATGCTCCCTCCGCCGCCTCTGCCCTCGTACACGGTCACCTTTCCATCCACCTTGTTCCCCGAGCCGCTGCGCACGGCCACGGGGCTGCCCCACCCGAAGTCGTTGCCGTACACGTCGAACCGCGGCGAGCTCCCTGTCGCCACCGTTGTGTGCGGGTGCGGGGCAGTCACGACCTCCGACATGCGCATGAAGCCTGGGTTCCGGGGCCAGGACGCGAGCCTCTCCCTCGCACTGGCCTCGTCGAACGACGCCACGGCCCTGTTTAGTAGCCACGCCGCCCAGCCCAGGCCCCTCTCGAGGATCTCGCCGGCGGGGGAAATCGCGGTGGCGTGCTCCACCGCATTACCCGCGTAGGACGCCGGTATGCCGTCCACGCGGCCGCGGCATCCGGCCAGGAGATGGTACACTGTCTTCTGGTCCGGCGCGAGCCTCCTGGCCCGGCACACCGCACGCCACAGGTGCGCGAGCAGGGCCTGCAGCGAGGAGATGGCGGTGTCCGTGGCTGCCGCGCCGGCCATCTCGGCGTTCGCCTTTGCCTTGAGCTTCCTCACGCTCTCCGCCGAGAAATGGAGAAAGCATTCCTCCACCGGCTGGTACGTATCTACACGCTGGCCGATGATGTCCTCGAGCTTGCCAAAGGGCAGAGGGATCGGGACGGGGCAGCCGTCCAGGAACCACCTCCGGTGCACCGGCAACGGCGAGGAGATCTCGCAGCCAGCGTCGCCGTCGCTCAGGCGACTGATCTCCGACCAGGTGTTGAAGAAGTGCCAGAAGGTCGTCCCGTCGGCGACGCCGTGGTTGGCCGACATGGCGACGAATAAACCGTCGGTGAGCTCGGTGACCTGCGCGGCCAGGACCGGACGAGAGTCCGCGATGGCGTCCACGCCGAGCAACCTGTCGAGAGGGAAGAAGGACCAGACCACCCTCGGGATGCAGAGCGGGACGGTGATGTCCGCGATGGCGACGCCGGGCGCCACGGCGTGGACGAACTCGGCGCCCTCGCCGCTGCAGCGGAGCGAGATGGCCATGCTCTCGCCCTCCGCGTCGTCTTTGCTCCCCGGCGCGACGGCGAGGCGGCCGGCGTAGGGGTAGAAGCGCCCCAGAGCGCGCGCGAAGGACAACTCGAGCCGTTCGACCATGGCGGCGGCATCGTTTCCCCGTCCTCCGGTGCCTGGAGGCTTGGGCAGGAGGATGCCCTTCTGGATGTTGTCCACGGTGATCACCCGGAGATCCCATGGCGTCAGGTGGATGGTCTCCGGCGGACCCGAGGTGATTGGTTCCGGCCGGACCATGCGCCGGGACACGATCCTTACGTCGCCCATCGATCTTGCTTCAGTTTAGTCTGCTAGTGCGTAGTGATCGAGCAAATGTGCTTAAGGTTGGATGGGAGCGCTGCATACCTGCGTCTGCATTTCGTTAGTGTTAGCTCCGCACGCTATCTTGCTTCAGATTATTCTGTTAGTGCGTAGTGATGGAGCTGTCAGATTCATTTTAGTATCTTATCACCCGCGCAAGCAGCCTGAGAAAAGGCTCGAGCCTAGCCTGATTTTGATATTTTTTAATAAAAACATCAAAAAGCATCTTCGATTAATTTTTTAAATGAACACACCTTGGACATCTTTGATGCCAGTATAATGGAGAGACAACTGAACTTAGAACAACGGGTAAAGAATAAAATTACATTAAAGAGCATATAAGATCTTATTAATACTAAGAAAAATAAAGTCATTATAATAGATAGATAACTGGACACAACACAACAACTAGTAAAATTTAAAATTATACTCAAAATTATATTAGCTTCTTCTACCTTCGATTGTATTCCCCCTGTCCTTGAAAGGGTGTACTTCGAACTTTGTTGGAAAGTTAAACTTTTTTATGTTTGACCGTATTTATACAATAATAGACCAACATCTATGCCATCAAATTAGTAGCATTAGATTTCATGATAAAATATATACCTATTTGTTTTCACAAGCCTTGACATATTTTTGCGCAAACTCGGTCACACTTTAAGAGCATCTGCAACGTCCGCACAAAAATTTGGCACCCAATAAAAGTTATAGCGCGCCACTTTAGCACTTTTAGTGCGCCGGAACCAACATCGCTTTTGCAGACGCCCAAAAACGCGCGCACAAAAAGCACACAGTGCAAATTGTGAAGCGCGCGCAATCCGGAGCCCAAAATATGCTGCGTGCGATAGCGTTTTTCAGCGCGCGCCCAAAAACTTTTAGCGCTACAGCATCTGCTGGAGCTGTGCGGCGCCCAAAAAAACAAAATTTTAGTGCGCGGAGCTCTTTTTGGGCCTGTTGGAGATGCTCTAAGATAGTTTGATCCTCCAACAAAGTTGGAAGTACACTCTTTCAAGGGCAGAATGAGTACATCGTACGTCAGAGATTAGGAATTGCACTAAACCAACGGTAAAAGAAAGACACATGCAAACACTCTTCCTGTACTGGTCCTTGAAGACAACAATAATCACTTGCTCCTTGAGACGGGATCTATATATCGCTAAAGCAGCATCGGTCACCCCACGCAATACGAGGTTGCAATCCATCACGCCAGTCCAAAAAGGTTGGAGAAACTGGACCAAGGACAGAACAACACAAAAGAATGTGTCAAAGTTGTCACACCAATAGCCAACAAAGAGCTTTCCTTGATCTTCTCAAAAAGAAGTTATCTTTGAAGACACAACAACTACCAAGATGTGAAGGCAACTAACAGATCTTCCCTTCATCGATGTCGATCAAACATCATCGAGGTAGGAAGATACCGGAGAGAGATTGTTCCAACACGTCATCGCTGGCACCACCAGCCGATCTCGCGAGGGAAACAAAAACCTATGAAAAAGAAAACGAGGCAGACGTGTGTTGAGCAATTTTGAATTAGCAAAGCCATCAACCATCCAAGATTACAATAAGCATCAACAAACAAAGAAAAGAAAACAGGAAAAGAACATGGTGTTGAGCAAACTACTGGCAAGCAACGTACCAACAAGCTAAGATAAACAGATTAAGGTATATTTCTAGGTTAAAGTTGATGAAGCTGTACTCGAAGAACTTGTCAATATGAAGATGCAAAAGTTGGGCCTTGGGAACCAGGAACATTCAGCGTGAGAGGAAGCATCCTCGACGTCATTATTGGCACAAAACAAAAATGGTGACCACCTCCATCTTCGAAGGAGGCTACCTGCCCCCTCACATTGGTACGAAAGGTATCGATCCGTCGGAAGTTGGACACCATGCCAAACAGATAAATGACGGTGAGGGGCTCAGTGCAGACGTCAAGCACATAGATGATGAACAGGTAGTCACTGTGTAGCCCGAGCAATGCTTCGATACACCCCTCCTCCCCCTCCACAAACCGTATAAGGGTAGCATGGTCATTTGACCATAACATATACACACCTCCGTATGTGACGCGTACGAGCTGATGAGCTGTACGTAGATGTACATGGTAGATCCGCCAGCCCATCAGACAAACTGGCTCACGTCCCCCCTCCATCCTGGGCCTGGCCCATTTTTTATTTTATTATTTTTTAAGCTTCAAAAAACAAGTGGGTGAGGCAGTATCGAACGGAAGTGAATCCTCTAACATTAAGGAGGAAAGTCACCTAAGCTACAGTGCAATCTAGTGCAAAACAAAGAAGGAAAGTCAGAAGCACTGTAGCGAATAATGTATTTATCTACTGTAGCAGGTTATGTGTGTGGTTACTGTTCATGTAAATAAATTTAAATTTTATTTTATTGCATCATAATTTTGTTTGTATGTATTTTTTGTAAATGTATACAATATATTTATAATTTGTAAATTAATTCAAGTAATTTTAGCCTTAATCATATGAATGTGAAGGAGGAAAGTTAGGGAATTGTAGCTTAGGTGACTTCTCTTCTTGATGCTAGAGGATCCACTTCCGTATCGAGCACTCAACCTCTAGGTTTATCTCAAACCGCAGTAACCAAATAGGACATCGCACTTGTTGACCTTGTCTTCTTCTTTTATTCTCTTGTTGTGCACCTTATCAGTTTGTTTTTCTTTTTGCCTTTTTTTGTCTTCGGTTTATTTTTCTTTATTTCTTCTTATTTTTCCATGTTCTTTTTTCATTTTCTTAAATTCATGAACATTTTTTCAATTCTTGAACATTTTTCATATGAATGAATATTTTTCAATATCGCAAACTTTTATCGATTTTCATGATTTTTTTTTCAAAATTTTAAATTTTTAAAAATCCTTTAACCTTTTTTCAAGTCGATGAACTTTTTTTAATTTCACAAACTTTTATCAAATTTGTGAACTTTTTTTATTTTGCGATTTTTTTTCAAATTTGTGAACTTTTTGTTAAATTCTTAACCTTTTTCAAACCGATGAACTTGTTTCAATTCCACAAACTTTTGTCACACCAGTAAGCTTGTGTTGCATGTCTCGGCTAGCACATGTAATTATATATAGGATAACCTTCCATAAAAATAACAAATAGATTAACCGTTTTGAAAATTTGAAAATTCACACGAAGTGTATATAGTACCTAATTCTTGGCACACATAATTTGAAATATCATTGTTCATAAATCAATATTCCTTTCACGTGCATTTCACCCAAACAATTTGAATACCTTCTTTACTCAAGAAAACAATATGAATACTCTTTTTATTGCATGAGGCAAATTTAGAGTGCATGCTTTCTAATATGATATCTATTTAGGAATAGACATAGTAGTTCATAACCAGGCTGATTGCAAGTCCATCGCCCAATTCTCCTCTGTTGAAGCAAGGTTACATGCAAATTGCAATGCAACACGTAGTTGTACGTGAACGGTTGGATGAACTTGCATGACCTGACTCCAAGCATAAACCGGGAAGAAGAATCAGAGATTCATATGAAAGTCCTAAGACAACAATATCACCCCAAAGATGGAAAAGCAATCAACATGTTGTAGATATAATATTTGATGCATAATCATATCTATATCATCTTGTCTTGTCTTCTTGCACAATGCATGTCTGGGACCAACAATTATTTTGTGGCCTCCTGCCTGCAATTTGAAGTTTCACAAGTTGCCAGCAATAAGTTTTCACATTATCCAACATCACGTCTTTGTAAACAATTACATAGAACGATAGCACCAAACCAAATACAATATGTTTTCCATTAAATGTTTCAAAATTGAGTGCAGTGCTGCACTCAGCATAGCGATGATAAAAAAATGGGAAGTACAACCCCCCACCCACCCACCCACAGTTGGATTTGTGTTTAAAATGATGAAACAAATTTACAAACAAATATTTAGATGATGACTACTTCAAAATAATTAAATGATGACAATAGGGGGTGAAAGGATCGATATGGTTGACTAGAGGGGGGGGGGTGAATAGGCAACTAACAATTTTTAGCTTTTCTTTAACAATTTAAACTTTGCATCAAAGTAGGTTGTCTAGATATGCAACTAGGTGAGCAACCTATATGATGCAACAAGGATAGGAACACACGCAAGCAAGTGATATGATACAAATAAGCTTGCAAAAGTAAAGGCACGGGATAACCAAGAGTGAAGACGGTGGAGACGAGGATGTGTTGCCGAAGTTCCTTCCCTTTGAGAGGAAGTACGTCTCCGTTGGAGCGGTGTGGAGGCACAATGCTCCGCAAGAAGCCACTAGGGCCACCGTATTATCCTCACGCCCTCACACAATGCGAGATGCCGTGATTCCACTATTGGTGCCCTTGAAGGCGGTGACCGAACCTTTACAAACAAGCTTGGGGCTCTCTCCACAACTTAATTGGAGGCTCCCAACGAAACCCCGAAGCTTCACCATAATGGAATATGGCTCCAAGGTGACCTCAACCATCTAGGGTGCTCAAACACCCAAGAGTAACAAAATCCACACAAGAAAGTATGGGGGAAGCAAATATCCTTTGGTGGAAGTGTAGATCTAGGTCTCCTCCTTCAATCCCTAGCAAATCAACAAGTTTGAGTGGCTAGAGAGAGAGATCGGGCAAGAGAGCTTGAAGTGCATTAATGGTGGAGTGAGAGAGGTCAAAGGTGAGAGTGGTAGGTGGGAGAAGCTCCCTTATATAGCAACCCTAGATTCCAACTGTTACTGCGTTATTCTGCACTGCAGCGATACAGCCTGTCCTCGTCCCGGTACAACCGGGACTCACGGTGTATCTGCAGAACCCTACCAAGCGGTACAACCGGACTTGCGGGCGGTAGTACCGGCTAAGAAAAATAACCGGACTAACCGCCTAGCCACCGCACAACCACCGCATCAAAACAGGAGCTTGACCGGTACTTGGGCGGTGCCTGGCCGGAACAATCGCATGGCCT